CTTCTCACTTCAAACTACCATCACCCCACTGTATGTCCTAATCGATTGCTTCCACAGTACTTATCTTACTTTTTCTCTGCATTTGTGTCCGTCTGTCTGACTGTCTCTTTAACATCTTTGAATCACTCTTCTGTTCCCCCTCTCGAATTTTTCTCACTTTGATATTTCTCCCCTGGGGTGTGCGATAGACTTACCTCCACGTGGTGCACCCTGGGCAACGTATACTCATACGGCAAAAAAGTCTATTAACCGGCAGTTGACTTCTGACTTCAAACTCCTCCCACTGTATGCCATATTCGGCCCATTTCGGAGTACTCATCTTACCTTTTCCTCTTTTGTCTGTCTCTGTCACATCTGTGAATCATTATTCTGTCCCCCCCCCCCCTTCGACTTTTTGTCACTTTGATGTTCCTCCTCCTCTCTGTGAAGCCTGAAGTCAGCTAAATGGCTAATGATAACTATCAAAACGCCTGCCATTTGAAATAAATAAATATTTCTCCCCTCTGTGAAGCCCGATGTCAGCAAAGGGACTAATGAATAGTCTCATAAAGCCTGCTATTTGAAATAAATATATTTATATTTTTCCCTTGAAATGTCACAAAGTAAGCATAGAAATAAATCGATTAATGTTTTATGAGGATTGACAGTTGCCCTCTGGAAAGTTGTCAAAATTCTGACAAGCTGCACAAACACTTGAAATTTCTAAGCTTAAAGAATAAAATTACCATAGGTCACTGAAGGGGAATGAACTTTACATGATGGTTTAAAATCTTGCCACCCTGAGAAGAGAATTAAAAAAGAAACAGGTGCAAATTTATTTGTTTAATGATATTTATTGAAATAAATGACATAATTTGCTTTCGTGATTGATTAGAATTCAATATTTAAGTTTTTTGAGATAGCAATAGTGGCTAGAGCAATGAAATGATGACCAGCCAATCGGATAATAAGATGATGACGAATACTCTTCCAGATTAAAATAATGATCCTTTTCTGTAGTGAGTTAGTAAAGCGAAACATGAAAGACAATTTGTGACGGCTATTAATGTCTGACTTACTAGTCATCTTTCCAGCATCCAAAACATTCACCGCTTGCTCACTTTGGCAGCTGCCGGTCGTCTCTCGGTTTGAAGCAGCATGACGTAATTACTATTCTTCATTTTGATGATATTGATCAGTTACTTCGATATTCTGGGGGTGTGCGATAGACTTACCTCCACGTGGTGCACCCTGGGCAACGTATACTCATACGGCTAAAAGTCTATTAACCGGCATTTGACTTCTGACCACAAACTACCACGACCCCCCTGGTTGTCATATTCGACCCTTATCACAGTACTCACCTTTCCTTTTTCTAAACCTTTGTGTCTGTCTGCCTCTTTTACATCTGTGAATCGATCTTCTGTTCCCCACTCCTCGACTTTCTGCTACTTTGATGAACCTTCCTTCTGTGAAGCCCGAAGTCAGCTAAATGGCTGATGCTTTCTATCAAAACGCCTGCCATTTGAAATAAATAAATATATACTTCAATATTCTGTTATTTGAGCTTATGAAAGACATTTGTGTTAGTTGAATAATGAACTAACTGAAGACTGCATGCCCTGCCAAAAATGATCAGAAAAAACCTTAGCAATCCACATTTAGTGCACACGTTTCTGTTAAAATATAAATATATAATAAGATTTTACGCATCTTCAGCTGTTTTCATTTTGTGTTTATGATAGATTGGCTAGACATTGCTTCAATGGGAGCGAAGCAATCTTTTCCACGTCCGTGCCAGATCTCTGTATGACGTTACCGACCACTATTCATCAGCAGACGCTTACCACAATTAAAAATTACAATTTTTTTGTTGTAATGTAATTAATAAAAAATAGAGTAGTTTAAAAAATTTTAATTATATGTTTCACAGCATTGTATTTAAATTATGCAAAGTAGACAATATTGAAGAGCACAAATTTTATTCCAAATCAGCACCATTTATAGGATTGCGTCAATTTCTAGGCTAATTGATTTAGGTGGGATGTTGCATTCAGGACACTTTGACTAAAAGCCCACCTTGCGATTTCGTGTTTCTCATACCAGATTCTACGCTCTCTCCTTCTCGCTTAAAAGGTGTGTACCACCTCTACGCAGAAATCAAACTCGCACGCCTACAGTCAAATTGACGTATTTTAAACTTGTGTACATTAAATCGCTCTGCTGAGAAAATGGAAAGGCATTTACCAGCTTTTTATTGGTTTGGATTGAGAAGCAATCTCTACAGAGTTCATTTTTTTCTCGAAATTGATTTTGAAATTACTTTTACCGTTTTTTTTCTGACATCAAGATAAGTCGATTCTCAAGCGAAGTACTGATTTTGTGAGTGTAATTGTATAATCTGTCAATGGTGAAAGGAAACGCCTATCCGTGAACATTTCACCAAATTAATTTCCAGTAATTTGGTCAAAGTGGTAATCAATTAAATTGGGCAGTGGTTATCAGTCTAGTGTAGCTCCAAGAGTTGTCTAATTGGAGTGCCTTCAAAAGGTGACGCTATAAATGCCATTCATGGGGATAAAAATTTAGCCTAAATCTCCGATCATAATCACAGCTAACTGAAGAATTTAGTCGAGAGCAAAATTTTTAAAACCTATTTTAGACTAAGGCTAGACAATAATTTGTACCATACTATTTTTTTATCTCAAATGGCAGGCGTTTTGATAGTAATCATTAGCCCTTTACGGACTTCGGCCTTCTCAGAGAGAAGGAGGAACATCATAGTGACAAAATGTCAAGCAGGCGGGAGGACAGAATATTAATTAACAGATGTGAAGGAGACGGACACATAAAGGCAGATAAAAGGTAAGATAGATACTGTGGAAGGGGTCGAATATGACAGACAGTCAGGTCATAGTAGTTTAAAGTTAGAAGTCAATTGCCGATAAATAGACTTTTTTGCCGTATGAGTATACGTTGCCCAGGGAGCACCATGTGGAGGTTAGTCTATCGCACACCCTATTTGTACCATACTAATAGGCGAAAGAAATACCAATTGTTAAAACTGACATAGCTAAATATCAATGCATGACATTTGACCCAAGATAAGTTAGGATTAAGTAGGCATTTCATGAATGGTGTCTCCTTATCCCTTGTCTTACTTCTAATCTGCCAGCTCTTTGAACAATGAGTCAATTATTATTACTATACTAGGAAAAAGTGGAATAAATTCAAATCAGTAAATGGAAAAGTTGACCCAGTATGGCAGAGTAAGGTTTGTTATATGAGAGTTAGAAATCGTTAAAATTAAATTAGGCAATAGTAAGAAATGATTTAAATCACAATTGTTAAGAGCCAAATCCGTGACATTAAGGACAAATTAAAAGCTATACATAAGTCATTTTAGCTACGAAAATCTGTCGTTGTTATTGTATTTTGTTATTTAAAACATTTTATTGAAAGGCTAACACTATCAATACAAGTGAAGCATAAAAATGTGTTGTAGTTTAATAAAATTAGTAGATTTAGAATGGATACTGGTGATTGGAAAGCATTCTTTTCAATTAATTTTAAATCAATCTTGTCTACTTAATCTCGAAAGACAATTATTTACATCACTTACACTAAATATTTTTGATTTGAAGCCTTTTTTCGAAATGGGGATTTTCACAAACTTCATACACATTACTAAAAAAAAACTTTTTGAATGTTTTTTTTAACAAAATTTCATCTAGTGATATGGAGTATTGAGGATCTTTTTTCATCTCAAATAATTTTGCAGTCTCTTTAGCATGTAATTTTTAAAGACTGCATGGGTAGGTCTAAAACCAGCTTACCATCCAACCAATCAGCTTTCGACCGCGCTACCATTGGTTGTCCTCAGATTGCCCGAAAATTTCTACGTCTCTGATGCACTCAGATAAGCAACATAAGGAAAAATACATCACTACATTACCTTCTAACCAGGTCAACCTTTTAACTAACATCCAGGTCATTCCCCTTGTAAATGGATAAATATTAACCTTGAACAGCCCTGCCAATGTCACACTTCCCCCAACGTCCTGATAGAAATAGCTCCAGCGGCAATAGTCTTCTACGGCGAAAAGAAACAGGACCTTCTTTGGCTGTTGATATACTGAGAGGTCGAGGATTTGCGAAACAAGATTACACGGTTGGTTGTTTGACAAGCACTGCAAGTCCACAGTTGAGCAAACTTCAAAACAAACCTACCATTCCGCCTATTTACACAGAAGGGGCACCTTTTGAAAGGAATATTGAAAGCGGAACGGTGGCTGGTTGTGTCCTCCCTAATCATAACACTCCTATTCGATCGAGACTTTCAATTCCTCCGCCACCACCTTCTAGACAAGAATGCTTTCCCCTCGCGGATATCTTCGAGGATATCCATGCATCCCACAGCATCCAGAGACGTCCAGAAAATATGGGCTGGACAGGCTCTAGAAGTCTGGATGGATGGGGATTTGAGAATAAAATATTCTACGAATATCCTTTGAGCTTTATTTCTAGAAACACGCCAGTTGTTGGGGAAAGAGAAACTGACACTCAACCGAAAAAGATAAATTCAAGCAGAAACGAATGCACGATTAATTCGGAAGAACGCAAATTTAACAATGTGAGTAAGAATTGCATATTGTTTGGAATAAAAATACTTATTGCTTGTAAACTATGTTTTAAATATTAATTATTCAAATAAAGGTTGACTTTGCTCAATTTTTCTCCGAAAGATTAATATTACCGTTAAAACCCCCTTTATATATCTGTTGGAAGTGGTGATATATTTTGTCTCTATGCATGCATGTCGGCTCATTTAAACCACCAATACTATAAGAAATTAAGATTTCTTTCGTGAATTATTGTGCTTGTTAGATCGATAGCTTTATACTAACAGGCTACTGCTTTGAAAGGTGAAATAAGTCACGCTAAAACAGCTAAGTTTTGGTCATTGGGAAAAAAGCTATTTTCCTAAAATTAGAGTATTACTTGCCTGAGTTCTCTGCCTCAATATATATGTAGAAGACCAAGTAAGATTCTTTTTGCTAACTTGTTGTCTGCAAAATGAATATATTATTCATTTGCACTGAATCGTACTCTAACCCATTCTAATGGACGAAAGTAGATTCTATCTCCAAAATGTACGAAGATCGCTATTGTGAAATAACAATAGTTTGATTCTTCTCTATTTGACAATAAAATAGAGTTAGTTTTTATCCCAAGATATAAATTTTGTTGCACAAGTAAAAATTTATTTGAATTCTTTTAAAATTTTTTTCGATGTTTTATATGTTCAATTTGTATTAATTATATTTAATACGAATTATAGGAAATATTAATGTTTTAAAAATAAAATTGTATAATTTTATGAAAAAAATATGAATTTAAATCAGAAAACCCTGAACTCGGTATTTTATTTCACTCTACAATTAAACTAAAACCTTTGTTTATTTTTTGGCATAAAACCCCATCTGCTTTCAATTTTTTTGATTCCTTTCTTTAAATCTTCATGGCACAAAATCTGTTATCATGCATAAATCAATAAATAAATACGCGCGACAAAGCGTTCGTGACAGACGTCTATAAGAGATAAATCATGTGTTGATCTTGCTGAGAAAATACCAAGACAAACTAATGGCTGTCTAGCTGCGATCGAATGCCGGTTCTGTGATGAAAAAGTAGATAACGGTACGTAATAAATAAGGAGTAAATATAACTCTTCCTCATTTCGATTACTTTGAAGGCACTTGTACAATGTTGGTCTTTCCACGGGCTGAATGTGTACCAATGAGTTCTGTGGCCTCTTATCTTGAAAGTGATCATGTTAAACACTGAGACAGCGGATCTCGCATTCACTAGTGGATTCTTTTCAACCCCTGTGCTTTTGATTGCATGTCAAGATCATTTCCTGCACAAATGTATCTGAAATTAAACATCGACGTCTTTCCATTGAAATAGCAGTTTTTGGCACTTTCTAGAGCGTTAATAACTTGGCGAGCTTTGAATATTTCCCTTTTTTGAATAAAATTATGGAATTAGTATTTTTATCTCCCTGTAGATTAATTAACTTACTCCTGGCAACATATAGGTTATAGGAAGATTTTATTATGGAACCAATCCTTCTTCATTAAAGACAATAGACCACTAAGCCATGAGCATCTTACACTGAAACTCCATCAAGTATACTCAGTAAAATCGCAGTGCAAAAATAAGCTGAGATATGAGTCTTGACGTAATTCTCTCTTCCCCATTGGTCACTTCCACTGTATCACTTGTTGCACTTTTTCTCCTTTGATAACAATACTACTAAGTAAACTTACAATGAATTATGGGTTAAGGCGATAGGGTTTTTACAATTCCGTCTTTCCATATCGCGCGTGTGTGTGTGTGTGTGATTGCTACCAAAATGCATGTGTGAATCACACCGGCCAGTGGAGAATTTCGGATACGTGTGGTAAGTGCTTTTGCAAAGACATGCTTGAAAGAACGTTGGAGAAGCCAGAGTTGAAGTTAACTCAGAACACTAGGGTATATCTTCAATATTCAAGGTTAGTCATAGCAATATGAAAAGTTAAGCCAATGTTATTTGGCTTCTTCAACAACAATAATAATGATTTATTAATTTGTTACCATGACAACAGATGTGACTGGCAAATAATTACTTTCCCTTCCTTGTTTGCATCAAAATAGTTAGCTGACAAGCACCACTATAGTTAATTAGTGAAAAAAAATTATCATTTATTTATTTATTTTATCGCACTTCTCAATTGAAGTATATTTAGGTCCAAGATCTGTGGGTAAAAAATGCGAGAAACAGAGCAACATTATTTTCATCTATAACCGCAAATTTTAACTAAAGCAAACCTAATTAATCAATCTTGAATAAAAATTAAATAATTTCTTCTATCGGAGAGGTATTTGAAGTTAAATTTAGCGAACGCTTTTGGCTATTCACGCTTTAGAGTATAGAAAAGGCACCGCTTGCACGAATTACTCAGCCTCAGCGATCAATCATGTCAGCCGACGACGAAACCTCTCTTCCTCAAAATTCGACCACCACTCCCCGTTACTCCTTGAGTAGTAACTCCAGCTCAAAACCTCTTCGTCAACGCTCTCCTTGGAAAAGCTTCCTCAAAGAGTCCTCCATTCCTGATGTCCCAGTGGATAACCGAGAACCCCCAAGAAAGAAGAGTGGTCAACGCAGACCCAGTCGTCTTAAATTTCTCTCTCCAAGCCATCGTCGTCTTTCTCTCGAAAAGTCCGTAACTTGGAAGGATGATAGGAAAAAGGCCCAAAAAGTCGATAAGCTCGCTCTGCCAACACAATCTTCTATGGATTTGCAGACAACACAAATGGATGAACTCGTCTCTGTACTAGCAGAACTCTGTGATACGTTGGAGAATTCTTCCATCTTCGTGTCTGCCTCAATGAAGCGGGAGGCTTCGCTTGATATCTGCCCACCTAGCTCCACACAGGCGTTATCAAAAATGACGGATCATAGGAGAAGAAGTCTTGAAATGGGCAGAGATACAAAACAGCTTTCAATTCGTAACGAAAAAGTAAGTTCATATTTCCCTAATCGATATGAAAATGCTTCATTCCATTGCACCCTATAATTACCGTAACGCTTCATGACAATAACTGTCGTTTTAACGAAAATATTAATATTTTTCACCCTATATATATATATATATATATATATATATATTTGGGGAGGAAATGCAAATCTTGAATATTTATGCATTGAATTTGTTTCAGGAAAAAATATTTTGAATTATTAATGAAATTTCGTATGATCTGAAATCAATGAAGTAATTTTGAACACATTTTTTCTACTTTTTGGGTAGTCATTTAAATTTGTAATGACTAAAAAGTATATAAGGGATATTTTTTAAATAAAAACGGCAGATACTATTATGTCTTTGATGTCATAATATTTGAGAAAAAAGAACTCTCAGCTATCAGGTCTGCAATATTTCTGCTTAATCGTATAAACCAAAACAGACATATCCTAATATGCCCTCCAATCCACTGTTAAAATTAAATACATATTAATTTTAAACATAAAAAATGAAATAAATCATCATGAGAGACTGCATCTGTCAACATTGCATTATAATAAGAGAGTATTCCTAAGAATTCGAATATGGATAAATATCCTTTTTGTCAGTTCTACTTTCAGAAGGCATTCAAGGTTAGTCGTAGGTAGAAGCAGATATCAGATAATCAGTGAATCTCACGAAATTCCTAGGATTCAAGGCTTAGAAGTGGCTTTACCAACCACGGTTTTAAAGCAACGTAGAGCTTAGCTGATTCAAATTTCGATGCAATGTAGAGCTGTTGTTTTTTATAATGGTCTATTACCGATTTTTGGCCGTGGATTCACACCGAATGATATATAGTGTTGCTAGATTCAGCAAACACGATTTTTAACCTGATTGATTTAAAGCTAACAATATGCGATAATCGGCCTTTTCTTTGAAAGAAAGAAGAGTTGGGACTGGCCAATGGGGTACTGTTAAGGAAGAGAAGGAAGTGAAGATTTGGGCTACACGGCAAAAATCAATTACCAATAAGTGAAATTGTGTAAGCGGGAAAAACAGCCTTAATATTGGCCAATCGTAAACGAACTTCACGTTAATATGACCCGACTTGAAAATTAGGTCAAAGAAAGCACAAGGTTATCATTGCGCATTCGGGTATTTGCCTGGTTTGTAATTATTATTATACCGAGTTAGTTAAAATAATTTTATCTGTTCACAAAGCTCATGATAGCCGTTAAGTAATCAAAGCGTTGTATTCGACCACCTACCACTAAGATTGGAATCTTTGTTATTGCACAGGATTTAGACACTACGCAAATATTCCTTCTGTACTTAAAATTCTCTCCTGCAAAGCTTCTGATTTTGTTTACGATAAGCTTAAAATATCAGGATGAATAATCCCGTAGCCAAGAAAGGTTATAGTCGCAGAAAAAAATAAAAATGAATCTTTTTCTGTCACTCATATAGTTAGAGACTAAACTCTAGTGTCAAAGTAAATACAACCCTAACCGTGAAATGGCAATTTTTTGACAATCTGAGCTCTCGTATAATATTTTTTTCTGAAACTGTCACTCGTCAGCCATTTTGACAGAATAGATAACAACACTTTCCAGCTTGTAATGGTGAAATAAAAACTAAAATTTAATTGGGGGTTGACAATTGAATTCGTGGAATAAGAACGAAGTTCATTAATTGATAGAATGTGGATATGGAATAGGAGTAATCAATTCCAGATAACTGTAACCTTGTTTTGTCTGAATTTTGAAAGGATTTGGTTATCCACTTTCTGCCTTTGAACAATTCAAATTCTCTGAGGCCAAGCTTTCAAAATTCGGATTTTCGGAAGATCATATATATAGTCCAATTTTCAGTGTTAATCTGTTGATTTATTGAAATGCTTGGAATTCACTTAATGTAAACCAAAGCACTATTGGTAACATTTTACCATAAAGTTATTCATTTTTTTCAGAAAACTCAAATTGCCAAAATATACGATAATGACAACGATGACTTTTATCAGTTCCCTCGCAAAATTTTAGTATAATTTTCTTTAATTGATGTAACCGGACGCTTTCAATGCTAATTGTTGGATAAAATTGGGAAAAATTTTGAATGCATAATTATTACTACAAGCACAGACAATTTTAACCAACATTTATTCGTCGCTTCAAATTGGGAACGACAAGACAAAATAAGTGTTAGTAGCTGTTTGTGGATCGATATTGATAATTATACATTAATGGATCAAAATTCAATTTCATTAAGAAATATTTGATAAGCTGTAAACTTGTGTCCTTATGGAAAGTATTAATTAATGTAAATTTAAAGTCAGTCGCAGCACATTATAAACACGTTGCTATTTTTTTAATGGAACCCTGATTAGGCAAATTATTTTTCCCTGAATCACCCAACTGTCATTCACAACCTGCCCATATCTGACAGTTGAACGGAGAGCTGCAAACATCTGCTGGACATACAGAGGATAATTTTTTGTTTCGGGCATGTTTATATTAAATATTAGACAACAGCTGAGCCAAATGAAATTCCACCAATGAGAGCTGTACCACTAACAGAGTAAAATTTGAGAATAAAAATGGTAGATAATATCATGGTGTTGGCTTATTAAGGCGGCAGCTATCGAATAGACAATTCGAATCATCTTTAGAGTGCGGTATTGTACTCTTCTCTAAAGATGACCCCATTCAATTTTTGGGACCAGTTTTGGAAGCCTTTTACTGATTGGCTAGGGCGTCTTTGTGATTCTTTTTCGTTCTAATCTCTAAATAAGGTGAATAATTAGCAAAGATATGAGAGACGCTTTTTTTGCAGTGATAAAGGTAAATAGATTGTTCCAATAAAAGATTGATTTTAAATAATTGGGCATGATCCAATAATTAAAACCAAATGCAACAGAAGTCATGCACTAGAAAGTGTTATTATTATTGAACAGTAAAGAAGTGTTCGACATCAACCATTTCCTTTAGGCTTCCGACCACTTATACACTCTTGATAAGCATGCACAAAGTCTTTCGCATCGACTTCATCAATAACATCCCAGATGGCATCTACTCATAACTCGAATTGATACCAGCAACTGATCTATCTATACCGTTTTCGAAACTTGAAGGGTAGAACTTGTGAAGTGGTTGGACTACCAACTGGTGATCCACTGCTCTTGATTCATCCAACCTTGCCTCACAAATATCGAGATTAATTAATCTTTATTTGTCCCGCTTAATACAACAACGCGTTCTGATTTTCACAATTCTAAAAACAGATTCACTTATTTTGGAAATCGCATTCATTACTTGCGTCGGGAAGCCAAATGCTTTCATCTCATCTAATAAGAGTGGTTATTTTTGCTACCTCAACTCCTTGTATTGTTTGAACAGGCAAAAACTTAATTATTTAATTAGTTTTCGACAAAAATTCATATGTATTGATCGTTTTAACGCAACCCCATCTCCGTTTTATTGATGCCGATTTCCTAAAGGCTCATTATTTGCTCCACATTGAACAGAGTGGTATGTTCCTCGTTGTCGCAATATAATTATTTGGTTACCAAAATTTAACTCTTTTCTTAGTCAATTCAAAGAAAGCAAAATTATCTCTTACCACTCCCATAAAACGGCGTAATTTACACAGTAAGTTTATTGGAAATAAAACAGTTTGAAATGAGGAAAATTTGGTCATGGAAAAGGGTTTTTTGTTTAGTTTGTACCCACTACCTCTTACTCAAGCTTTTCTTGATTTTAAACTCTAATCAAGCTAGAATCTGTCATAACTTGAGTTAAATAGATTACTAGGTATAATTTACCCCAAACGTTGCTTTTCACAAGCCTATCTTTTAATGATTGCATCACAAATTCGTCTCGGTAGAGAATTCGATTCTAGGCCACCCACTTCATTGCCATCCGCCCCACTGGGTGGCCTCGAACCTAAATCCTATAACTTTCAAGGGCATACATAATGTGTGACTGTTTACAACTCATTTAATTGCTTATGAACGCTTGGGTCGATCCGAAATCTTTTAACTACATGGCGTCTATATTGTCAAATCAGTTGACCTCAGGTCGACTGAGACAAGAATATTTATACTTTGCTATGCTTTCAAGTAAGTCACTTTCAAACGGAATGATTAGTCATAGGTTTTATGAAAAGAAGGAGTACATGTAAGTACTCTCTTGTTTAAATATTGCTTTAGGATTAAAATGTTCAAACTTCAAGTATTTTAAAAAAAGATATGCATTTAAAGCTTATTTTAATTGAATAATAGCATAATAGTACACCCAGAGAGTGTTATTTTATACCACGATCGAACTTGTTGGAAATCAATAATCTGTAACTTCAAGTTGTATATCCATTAAGGAAGCTGAATCAACTAATATAGTTAGCAAAAGTGAGGTATTCATACATAGTTCTCGTGATAAAATCATTAAATCAAGTACTATTGACAGTCTACATGACCGAATGTTCAGTTTTGATAAAATTTATATAGTTATAACAAATGGCAGACTATATGGTAATCATCATAAGCCCTTTGGTTGACTTCGGAATTCACAGAGGGGAGAAGTATCAACATCATAGAAAGTTGAGGAGGGGAACAGAAGAATGATCCACAGATGTAAAAGAGACAGACACAAAGGTAGAGAAAATGGTAAGGTGAGATGAGTACTGTGGAAGTGGTCGAATATGACATAGAGTCGGGTCATGGTAGTTTGAAGTCAACTGCCGATAAATAGACTTTTTTGCCGTATGAGTATACGTTGCCCAGGGTGCTCTACGTTGTGAGTCTATCAATCACCCCGTTTTACTACTATTAGACACTACAAATTTTGTCAGAAGAGACTCAAATGGATTGGCTAAACATTGCGTGACTCATGGATAATACTCGAATGGCGTACAAGAAGAGATAGATAATGCAGAAAGGGCCGTAAACATATCCATTTCGTTTGATATCCAGATATATTTAGTACTCTGCTCTCTCAGAAACAGCACATATTAACATTTTATTTGCTAGTGCTTTAGAGTTCAGCTTTCACCATTATAATACCATTCTATTGCTGATCCATATTATTAAATGCATTTTAATTTTTATCATTTACTTGAATGTTGTACCTCTGTGTCTAACCGATTGACAAGGTTTTTTTCATCGGATTAAGTACTCATATAAGTATCAATGATCTTAGATGTTTTTAAGTGCTCATATAAACTTGAACTTTTATCTATTTAGAGTTCTGAAATGTGTTGACTATTAATAGCAATGCAATAAGCGTGCATTCTCACCAGTGGTAAGTTAACTGATGCGAACTGCAATTTCAAGTGAGTTTGAGGTGATTAAATCGGAAATCACTTACGAACTTGCCACACAAATCTCTTAAAACCTTCAGCAAGTAGGAGATTATTGACCTGAGTAAATCCCTCTTAATGTTGTGCTTAATTTGCAATATCTGTGTGAGGTCTTGACCTTACGATCGCATTGGCTAACAGTCTTACCTAATGGTTAAAAGGTTCTAGAGGAGGTCGATTTATTCAGATAATGATTTTTGTCAATTAAAATGTGCTTTGAAGAACCATCAGCCATCATCATTCATGATTAAAAAAACTGTTGCTATAACGTCTAAACACTCCATTAATATCTTAATTATTGAAAAAAAGAGCATACTTTTAAAGATTTTCAATTCCGAAATCATAGTGGATCATAGTGCATTTCATTTTCTCAGCTGTGATTGTATTTGTCCATTAATTAGGCCAGCCTTTATTTTCGCACCACTTCTACGTGGGTATTTGCACAGTCTTACAACTTTCAAAGATCTTAATACAACAATTTGTTCAATAAAAATGAATCAAATGAACGAATGCTTCGTTTCCAATTTTGGATATGTAGGAATTATGCTGATAGGAAGATGCCTGTTACACTGTGATCGTATGATTCCGCCTTGCCCAAACCAACTTGGGCAACGAGTTTTTCTTCTCTTGCCTAACTAAATCAGTTTTCCAATTTATCAATTGTTGATAAAATTTTGAATTGGACGACAACTGAGAACGAAATTTCAATGCTTAAATTTCAGCATTTTATTTTAACAAAATTTATCGATTTTTTGATGTTTTAGGTCGTTGTCGAAGTGCGAGTGGTTTTCCTAAAAATTGGGGAAATCGATACGTTGAAAGAATTTTATCAAGCAGACGCGTTCTTGCAGACGAAATGGCGCGAACCCAGACTTGACGGTAAACTTCCCGATGTAAGGCCTGTTGACTAATTAAATAAATTCTTTTTCAATATTTTTCTACATTTCATTTAGAGCTAATTTCAATTCGAAATTTTCAAATGCCATAGATTATTTTACACTGATATACCTGCTATTTCCATAATAGTCCCCAGAATTCACTCAAACAAATTATTTATTCCTTATTTAAACATATATATATATATATATATTTCAAATGGCAGGCGTTATGATAGTTATCATTAGCTCTTTAGCTGACGTCAGGCTTCACAGAGGGGAGAAACATCAAAGTGAAAAAAACCCGAGAGGGGGAACAGAATAGTGATTCATAGTTGTAAAAGAGGCAGATATACAGACACAAAAGCTCAGAAAGGGTAAGATGAGTACTGCGGAAGGGGCCGAATATGACAAATAGTTGGGTCATAGTAGTTTGAATTCAGAAGTCAACTGCCCATCAATAGACTGTTTTGCCGTATGTGTATACATTGCCCAGAGTGCACCACGTGGAGGTAAGTTTATCGCACACCTCACATGTTAGAAAATAGAAGTACAACGTCGTAGCACCCTCAAGGCGTTGGACAGATGTTGGCTCTACTTCTGTGCCAGGTACTCAAACAAGGTAGAATGCGATAGAATGGCTGAACAATAAAGGTTAATGAAATGGAAAGCATAGATCGTTCTGGCTCATCTTTTTTTGACCCACATACATGTCATTTAAATTATAAAATTTCTTGCCCAGCAATTAGGACGGAACAACTGTACGAGGCACCATATTTTCACACACTGCCATTTCAAATCCTGGTTATCTATTTTTTGATTTTATTTTACTTGATTATTTCTACTCATGAAATGAAATGACTCTCTTTTTCTCAAAAAAAGGCATTTCTCCCTTTACCAAGAAGATATTAACCCATATTCCTACAGTCCCTTAGTCAAACAAAATTTGCTTGCTGTACAACAGGAGTCGATGAAATGTAGTTGAAAGACAATTGACATCTGTCCAGATACTGCGATTGCTTAAGTGCAGTGTCAAATTAAGCGCATCCAACCCCCTCCCCTCTTGTTTACACATTCCAAAATGACTTTCAATAGTCCAGAAACTCCGGTCAATTCTGATTACCAACTTCTAATTATACTTCGTGAAAATCTTGGTATAAGGAGAATCTTCACATGTGCAGTCAATCGGTTGAATGAAAATAAGCTTCCCGTATAAATAGCTTGATGAGTTGATGTTATGGTCAAACTTTACAGTTTACAAAACGGTTGTTCTGTTGTAAACAAAGCGTCGAATAACTCCAGGGTAATTGTTTCAAATAGTTTTAAATTTAAAATTTGAATAAAGAAGATTCAAGTATACACAATTTCAACTTTACCTTTTGTACTACTCAAATCTTTCTTATAGCAATCATTCCGCAGATTAAAGCTGTTGTTGAATAAGTAGAAAATGAAGCCACAACGTTGAATCTGGTACACAAAGTCTTTCACACAAAGCTAGATCCTTCTTCAATTGACTAAACTTTGGAGGTCAGATCAATTTGGAAGATATGATACTTCTATCAAGTCTAAATGCCAAACGTGGGGAATGAAGTTCTAATGGGCTCATTACGAGACAAAATGACTAAGGACTCTAGTCAAGTCCCAAAGATTTTGTTCTGAATATGGGATAAGTGTACCCATTTCTCAACAAGCGCAGTTCATTTTCAAATTCCGATTTTTTCATAATCAAAACAATTTTCATAATACCTCCTGTACGTAGTGCTTTCTATTTTCAGGAACTTGGAACTGTGGATTTGGAGCGTTATTGGAATCCCCTCTGTTACATTGACAACATTCTTTCAGAAACGAAGGAGGTTCAATGGTTGTCGACATCTGTGGGTCCGGGGGGTGAAGTTTACATCATCGAACGACGTCGAATAAAGGGCGTCTTTTTGGAAACCTTAGAACTCAACGATTTTCCTCTGGACGTTCAGGTATAATCACATTTATCTTTCATATTCTGCGCCTTTATATTCACTGCAAATATTTATTCATTTATATCAAATGGCAGGCGTTTTGGTAGCTATCATTAGCCCTTTAGTTGACTTCAGGCTTCACAGAGGAGGAGGGGGAACATCAAATTGAAAAGAGTCGAGAGGTGAAGGGGAACAGAAGAGTGTTTCAAAGATTTAAGAGACAAACACAAAGGTAGAACAAAGGTGAGGTGAGTACTGTGGAAATAGTCGAATATGGCATAGAGTGAGGTGATGGTAGTTAGAAGTGAGAAGTCAACTGCCATATAATAGACTTTTTTGCCGTATGAGTATACGTTGCCCAGGGTGCACCACGTGGAGGTAAGTCTATCGCACGCCCCTTCACTGCAAATATAAACGGTTAGCAATTCGATATTTAGTATGTTAAAATTTCAATTTTTTACCACCAATAAATGCTTTCTTTTAATCTTACACTTTTTGCTATATTTTCATAGTAAATCGAATATTTTACGTATCAATATTTTCACAATACTATTCCAACATTTGTCTTCTTGAATATAACTAAGTGTAGGATAAAAAAATGAACAGCATTTCACAATGCGTCAAATCTGAGCGTTCATAATTTCTCCCGTGCTGTGCAACTTTTATTGCTGATATTATTAGTACTAAAGAGCAAATTTATTATTGTTATAGATTCATGACATAGGTAAAATGAGGACATTTCGCTTTTATTGAAGTTGAACACATTTATTTATTTATATCAAATGGTAGGCGTCTTGGAGGTTATCATTAGCCCTTTAGTTGACTTCAGGCTCCACAGAGGGGAAGGAACATCAAAGTGAAAAAGGTCGAGAGGAGGAGGGGGGGCAGAAGAGTGTTTCAAAGATGTAAGAGAAAAACACAAAGGTAGAACAAAGGTGAGGTGAGTACTGTGAAAATAGTCGAATATGGCATAGAGTGAGTGATGTAAAAGAAACAGACACAAAGTTGGAAAAAATGTGGTGTGAGTACTGTGGAAGTAGTCGAATATGACATACAGTGGGGTCAGAAGTCAACTGCCGGTTAAAAGACTTTTTTGCCGTATGAGTATACGTTCCCCAGGGTGCACCACGTGGAGGTAAGTCTATCGCACACCTCGAAGTTGAACACATAAAGAGAGGTTAAGGTTGCTTAACTATCTCCCTCACCCTTCCCAGCTCCAAAAATTCCAGAAAAAAATCTTGATAGAAATGGAAATTTTTTCTCCAATTTCATTTTAGGATCTCACAATTACAGTGACAACTGAAAGACCTGATACGGAAGTTGACTTGATCCCAGACCACAATGAGATGTCTGCCATCAATAAGCAAACTTTCGTCGACCAACAGGTACGTCTTCTCAAATTTCCCTAGTCAATTCCAAAGATTGTGGGAATAAGAGATTAGATGTAGTTATGCGCTTCCTTGTTTCAAATTAGAGGCATGTGGAATGTCACTGGATCAAGGTCAGTTTGGATAACCTCATAGTGAGGGAAAGAATTAAATTTTATTGGCATGCGTTCATTTCTGCAATAAATCTACTTGAACTCTGCTTGGAACACATTTTATCTTTCCAAAGTAGATAAAAAATCAGACATAATTAGTTCATAGAACCAACATAGTTCACGTATACGCAACTTTCCATTAAAAATGATATTGGTTTCCATTTGTTAATTGCTGGATAGGAATGGAAATTGCATGAACATGTGGAAATAACCAAGAGAGTTATCCGCCAGGAGTATTCAAGATCTATGAAGAGTCATCCTTGTCTCTCCGTCACATGTCGAGCTGCTAGAAGGCCCGGCTACTTTTACTGGAATGTCTTCCTCATTATGGTAGGCTACTCAAAAACCGCATTAATCTATCGATTGCAATTTGAAACAATTTGAAATGCTTTTCTCCTAGTTCATGATCTCTGGACTTTCCTTCGCAACATTCGCTGTCTCCCCAGACAAAGCTGAGTTAAGACTTCGTCTTTCTTTCACACTGATTCTAACATCCGTCACTTTCAAATATGTCATTACTCAAAGTCTACCGCGAATATCCTACCTCACGTATATGGTAAGTCACATGTGCTAGGAGCCATTTTCCCCGTCAGCATAGGAGAATTAAGGAATTATAGAAAGATTATAGAAAGACTGGATTTATTTAAATTATTTCCCTGAATGCACAGAGTGTGGTCGTTGCTTGCTACCGGTATCATAGATATGACATTTTGGATATCGTCTTTTTAATAATAGTGACTTAAATTAGGTTTATTTTTAAATGAATAAAATTATTATTATTATTATTTCAAATTGCAGGTCTTATGATATTTATCATAAACCCATTAAACTTTGACTTCAGCTTCCCTCAAGGTTGGGGGGGGGTACATATATAGCAGTTCATTAGCTGTCTTCTTGCTTCCCAGTATCTCTGGGTTTCCGTCGTCGTCTTTAGGGCTGGACACCGAATCAGGTGTGTATAAAGCCTGACTACTCAGAAATCTCTGTGACAGAATCTCCAACATCTAGCTAGATTCCCAGAACTAGCTAAACTATAGCCCAGCTATAGAGGAAACAGACGTATAATACGGCACACGTATATTCAGTCATGTAATGATAAGAAAAGTGTGTTTGCAAACATTTTAGTTTCAATCAGCTTGGCTGCTTAGTTATAAACACTTGGCGGCTTCTGATTGGTCACTCGTATTATTGTCGTTTGTGCGGAAAGTTATACGGCCGCGCGATAATGGGATAACGTGTCCCACAGGCGGGTCTTCTCCATTTCCTCCTGTGGGTTACATAGGGGACATGTTGGATGATTGTATACTCTTAATCTGTGAAGGTGTTTTGCCAGGCAATCGTGTCCGGTACGTAGTCTAAATTCATCAACGGCTTCGATTCTTGACCAGTCGGGTATGTCGGAGAGTGCCACTGTCCACTGTTTCTCCTTTGTTCGAGCTTTAATTTCGGTACACCTTGAGGTCGGGAATTCTCTTCTGATTAAGGCCTTCATTGTGTGGAAAGACATCGGCCGGTCCATGCATTGCAAAATCGTTGTCCCCTTCTTAGAAAGTGTGTCAGCAAGTTCATTGCCTTTAATGCCACAGTGACCAGGAATCCATTGTAGGACCACTGTTTTGTTTTTCCCTCTCAGCAGCTGATAGAGTTTTCTACATTCGTTTATCTCAGCTGTTTTGGGTGGCTCTCTGTTTCCAACAGAGTTTATTGCTGACTAAGAGTCCGAAAGCATCACCTCTTTGGCGAATTTCGAATCCAGGCAACATAATTGGCATAGTGCTATCTTAATGGCCTCTATTTCTCCTTCGAAAGCGGATCTATTGTGCCCCGCTGCTGCGTAGAAAGAGAAGAGTTCAGAGTCGACACCTGCACCAACGTTTGCTTGGTTTTCTATGTATGACCCATCAGTGAAGACTTGGAGCCATTGATCTGCAGGATAGTTGATATTGATTGTCTCAAGGGCCAGTGAGCGCATTTGCTCTGGAGGGGTGTTTGATTTCCTGAAGTAGTCAAGCAGTTGGGTGCAACACACTACATCAGTATCTGCTAATGGGTTCATGGGTAGAGGGAGGCTTTTTGGTTTGTTATCGATTTGTAATTCTTTCTTCAGTTCTATGGCTTTCTGTATTAGACCAGATTGCGTTTTCAGATGTCCTGGTCTATTCTCATAGGTGCTGAAGAACTTATCCATGGGAACGCGCAGTAGCTATATATATATATATATATAGTGAATAGTAATAGTACTTAAACTGGAAACGTGGAAAGCGATGGTGTTGATGACATCGATAAGGACGATTTCTCTGGAGACAAAATCAGACAGAAGCATGATAATAAAGCCAGCATTTAATGAAATAATGACTTGTGGGGTTCATTGATGCTTCCAAGTAAAGAATGAGTTGATTACATCTCATTTTATAATCTATCGGGGGTGTGCGATAGACTTACCTCCACGTGGTGCACTCTGGGCAACGTATATTCATACGGCAAAAAAGTCTATTATATGGCAGTTGACTTCTCACTTCTAACTACCATCACCTCACTCTATGCCATATTCGACTATTTCCACAGTACTCACCTCACCTTTGTTCTACCTTTGTGTTTGTCTCTTACATCTTTGAAACACTCTTCTGTTCCCCCTCCCCCCTCTCGACTTTTTTCACTTTGATGTTCCTTCCCTCTGTGAAGCCTGAAGTCAACTAAAGGGCTAATGATAACCTCCAAGACGCCTACCATTTGTGTTGGGTGACGGAGAAGGAGGTGGGAAAAGCTGCCATCTTTCTCGATCAAAGGGGAACAATTACTCATCCGTTAAATGTCAAATATTTTTCATGCATTTAGAAAAGGATGAATTGAAGAATGAAAATCAGTACCGCTGTAATATGTTGATTACTTAAAATCTTAAGTACAAAAATAATATATCTACATGTAAATATTTTATGAGGCAAAATTCCGAAAAAAGTTTTCTTCATTTTATTTTGGTTTAAAGAGATTGATTTTAGTATTTAAACCAATTTCTTAATGCCAATGGATGTCCAAATTATAAAAGTGAATCGTTGTTCAACTTGATTGCTTTTGAGCACAAATATTATTTAGTAAATATTATTAATCCAATTTCAATTAAGTTTTAGTTAAAATAATGCGTCTTTTTGACAAGGCCAAGGTCGTTTCAAATTGCTCAATAGATTATCTCATCCATTAGGTTTGAATCTAAGAATAATGTGGATTTCTATATATTTATTTATTTATATTAAATGACAGGCGTTTCGGTGGTTATCGTTAGCCCTTTAGTTGACTTCAGGCTTCACAGAGG